CTTGCATCGAGAGCTCTCTATTCACGACAGGCAAAAAGGGGGAATTATTTTGACTTAGGAGACAGCGGTGCATGGGTCAAGTCAAGTCTCATCGGTGAAGGTTTGTGGGTTGTGCGATGAAGAGACAAAGCTCCAAATGGTTTCATATATCTGAGCTGTGTGAAGAGAGAATAGTTTTCGTGCAACAATTTTAAAGAATCAGGAAAACCAAAACTGTCTGAAAATTATCCAAGGAAGATGATCTGTGGAGGCATTGGGTTTGTCAAAATATTAGGCCAAAGGTTACAGAGATGCTAGCTCTAACCACAATTTGCGCTGGTGGAGCCTATTCTTGGAATTTTTGGTAAGTATGTTGCATAGCTTAGATATAAACCGAATCATTTTTGAGCACTTTCATTCAATTAGTTCAATTTAGAGTTGAATTCACCTTACAAAATCATGTCAATACTTGTAAAATGGAGGAAGTCAAAGAGAAACCTACAATAACAGGATGACCAGCATACTCCAGTTATCGCACCCACTTTATTTTATGAATTTAATGTACCACTTCTCTGAGAGGCTGGAAAGCTCTACCACAGAACACCCTTCCTTGTTGTTGGAAAAAAATCATTCATCACATTTGTATAGAGTGTCACTGAAATCTTACAAAACTTATAACCAGGGTGGAAAATAAATATGCATGGTACTGTAATTAAGTGGACTTTTAAACCTTTTAAACCTGTACTTGTTCTCGGAATTAAGTAATTCAAGAGATGTACTTAATAACATTTAGTTTTAAAATCATAGAAGGCAGAGGTGGGACCAAGTCGTTTTGCAAGTCTCAAGTAAGTCTCAAGTCTTTGAGATCAAGTCCAAGTCAAGTCCCAAGTCAAATACAGGCAAGTCCAAGTCGAGTCTCGAGTCACTGCCCCATAAGTCCAAGTCAAGTCCAAGTCATCTGCTTTGAGCTTCAAGTCACTTCAAGTCTTTAAACCAAAGTATCTTCGATTATTGCAATTTATATGAATTTTAAACTAAATTGTACTTAAAAAGTCATGGTATATTTATATATGAGGATTTATAGAGTATGTAAGAGTTGTAGAAATTAATTTAGTTTGTTTTTTCTTTTTAAAAGTCTTGATAAGATCTTAGTGTGAATCATTATGGTCAGAATAGAAATAATCCAGATTTAGTGCTTTCCAAGTCTTCTCAAGTCCCTGACCTTCAAGTCCAAGTCGAGTCCCAAGTCTTAGACAGTTTTATCAAGACAAGTCCTAAAAATAATGACTCAAGTCTAGGTACATACTAATTCATCTTTGTCTCACTTTGGTCCCTGCTCCTTTTTATAGTAAATGGTCACATTTTTATAAAGGGCTTTTCCACCTTCATGGCGCTCAAAGGGCGTTACATCAAGCAACCACTCACCCATTCACACACACTCTCATACACCAGTGTACGCAGACACTGGATGTGAGGTTGTCTTGTCAAGTGTCTTGCTCAAGGACACAATGACAGAATTCATCTGTGGGAGCTAGTCACGCCGTCTGCCAAATGATTTTAGATAGATTCCAGATAAGTGGACAAACTCTCTTTTTCATGCGTATACTTACCTAGGTTAAAGTGTTACAGGAGTACTTGTAATTATAAAAGTACATTATGTGCGGTATAACTGTACTTTAGCTTTGATGAAATAAAGTACTCTTTCCGCCACAGCATCTTATAATTACTGTTGCTAACCCTGAACGCTCTGCTTGAGTATTACTAAACTCACCATGCTATTATGTATTAGCATTAATCACCCCTCGCTTTCAGTAAAAGAGCATTTTAATGAGATCACTTGAGAGGCTGTGTCTCCCAGAACATCCAGTCTGTTCAGCATGTGTCCCCATTAAAACAACTTAAGGTACGTTCAGAACATAGGAGAGTCTAATCAGTTTCATCTGACTGAGTAAACGCACGTACTGCAATGGGCCATTTCAAAGTACTTTTATACTGCGCAGATGGCTGGCAGTATATAACATCTCTAGTTTGGAAGGAGTATGTGGGCTGGAGCACTGCTAAACGGGCCCGGTGAAGTCAGAAGGTTAAGCTCTTTCTCCTTCCCAGTCACTTTAAATGAATTTCCCCCATAACTCTAATTCACACAAACAAGTGTCTACAATCAGAGACAGCCCACTGGAAGCCATCTGTCCCGCACCTCCGAGAATCAAAACAAGTTGGACTCCGCACTGACAGATGTGTTTGCAAACTTATTTACTTACAAACAATGTTAAGTTTTCTGTGAAAGGTGCAATATGTAACTGGAGGGTCTGCCACCTGCTTGTTGCCATAGAGATGTAATAGATTTTTGCCTTGAATGTTCCACAGTAAGAAAACAGATCCATCTTAAATTACTAAACTGCTGGTATTTTATTGTTCAAAAATACACGCATCTCTCCACAGATATGACCTGTCACTTGGCCTGTTTGCATCAGTTGCTTGTCTCCATGCAGATAAATAATTTATATGCCAAACTGTGAAACATCAATAATAAGATAGATAAGATAATAAGACCACTAAACTACTATTTTGTAGTATGTTGTTGCAGATGTAATATTTTTAACAAATGTGGAAACTTGTGGTTGATTACCCACCTTCTGTATGCCATTAATTTGTTTTATACTTACACATAAAATGGCTTTGTAAAATACTAAAGGGATACAATAAGTTATACATAATATAAATAAGTATTTCCGAACTAAGTATAGTCTGGAAATACTAATATTTTAGAACCATGACCACCATCATAAGTCAATAGAGAAAGTGTGAGTCAAGTCATTTCAGTCTGTGGGTAAGACCTGCAGGGGGCAAAGGCACCGCTAATAAATAATATTATTTGTGATTTTAAATCTCTCCAACTCCACCACATGTTTAAATGGTTTGGACCACAAAAAACTAAACTTGTGTTGGGGTTTTGAATATGTTTGCAACAGTTGGTAACATTCATTTTGACTGAGAGAGTGCTGTTCTCACAACTCTGCGCTCCAGCTCACAATCTTGTCTACATGCCACTTTTTCTCCACTTCGCAGCCAGACTGTGAGTGTGCACTTGTGAATGGTGAAGAATAATGTTTTACACACTGGAGACAAATTATTAAAATGACCCGTGTTTATTGGTGTTCTTGCTGTGACCTGGAACTATGTGATTTTGTATACTGTAAAATCTGTCTGATAAATTGACCATTAAGCTCTATTTGATGATCAATTTGCTTGATGGAATGTAAATTTATAAGGTTGCATATCAAAGATGTGACGACTAATGAAGGCAAGTACCGTATATTTGAGCAAAACTATTTATGTCTGGCTTTCTATTATGTATCCATTAAACAATCTTCAATCATTGTGGGACATATATGGATGAGTGAGACTGCAGACTTAAAAAATACTGATTTTAACATGCACCTTTTAACACCTATCAGCAGTTGTGGATGGCTTATAGAATGTACACCCTGCTGTGGTCTGTTGGGAATTGTAAGGCAAAAAAAAAACATTCTTTAATTTAGTTTGCCTGCCACTAAACTATTATTGTAAAGCTCTTAGTGGCAATTGTTGTTATTTTGCGCCATAAATCAAGAACTTAAAGGCACACTGTGTAACTTTTCTAGTGGAATGACTGTCCCGTCTCATGGTAATGTTTCTGTGTTGCCTAGAATGTTCCACAGTATGACTTTAAACTCCGTAGAGATGAGCAGATGACACAGGGTCACGTTACAGGTTAGATCAGTGGAAAGGAGAGCCCATTCACTGCAAGAATGTATATGATGATCATTTTAACAATAATATCCAGTAATTGAAAAATGTTGAGTTGTTTCATGTTGTTTGAGTTTTTGTTTCATTCACACAGGTTTAACACACTAATTCTGCATTTTCAGGCTGAGTTCTTCTCAGAAAACACTCCTTGTTATGTCATGTGGTAATACAGGAAGTGCTCCACTGTGATTTTAAACTCCATACAACTTCGCTAGGATGACTGATTGAAATCTCTATTGAAGTAAAGGTAAAGGTAGCTGTTAACTTGAAAACTACCTCTGTATGACATCACAAGGTGGAACAGGGCATTTGAACTTTGGAGATGTAGATAGATTAATAATAAACTTTTACACAAAAATGTGTGGCAGAAACAAAACACAACTCCAGGTATGTGTTTGATGTTCAATGTTCTAACATTGATTGTAACAGGCGTAAAGTTTACAAAAGTCAATTTTGTATGATATAGGACCTTTAAAGCCATACTGTGGAACACTACAGGTTTAGCAATAGTATCTCCCAGGTCCCAAACAGCTGGGTTATAATCTACCTTGAATGGGTGAGGAATAAATCAGATCATCATGTTGTTGCTTTGCTGTGAGGGTCTTCGCTCAGATGAAATATCAGGTGCTGAAAGTGTTGATCCCAGGTGTCATGAGCAATAATCTGAGCCAAAACTATATGATATTTATTAGCCCCTACAGAATAAAACCTCACAGAGGAACATGCTAAACTATTCAACAAGTCTAGAGATCCCTGCGTGTTTATGACTTATTATCAAGGCTCAAGCCCAATTTGGACGTCTAAAACAATCGTTTTGACACAGCATAGATATTTATTATATGTACTGTTTGGCACGAGCTGACAGACCAGAGTTTGAGGTCAAATCAGGCAAACCAACTATGATTGTTATTGTATCTATAATGTTAAAACATATTTCTCTCATAATGGTATTTACACTGTTGTTGCACATTAACTTTAGACAGAAACATGATCTGGTGAGCAGTGATTTAGATTATTAACAAAACAAAACTAAAAATCATCATTATTTGTATTGTTTGGCAAAAGCTGCAGATAAAAGTTTGAGGCAAAGTCAGGCAAACACGCCAATCACGAGTCCATCTGTGAGTCTTATTGTAACATACTTAACAACATCAATTTCTCAACTGAAAACTGATCTAATGCGTGCAGGTTTAAATCATCATAAAATACAAACCTAAAAACTAAAATGTTACCTTGGTCCGAGCTCGTCCTCACACCTCCAGGTGAACTCTCCGAAACTCTCGTAGCGCTGGTTGTAGTGGTAGAGCACCCGGTGCAGAGTGGGTGCCCCCAGGTCCATCAGGGTGTTGTAGGCCGTCTGCTGCTCCTTCCCACTGGTGTAGCCATTAAACAGGTTGTAGATTTTATCAGCTATTTCTAAAGATCAGAAACAGACAAACAAGAACTATGTAATTGCAAAGTACTTAAAAATTCCCTTAAATGAGAGTTAAAGGTATGGTACCTGACTTTATTCTTGTAAATGGGTAAATGTAGTTTGTTCACCCATGGAATTTACTATAAAAGCAGCAATATAAACAGATGTGCTCTTTCTGCATTTAAAGGGCAAATGTTACGATTTTCTGATCTATGTTATGATGTTGTTTTCTCATCACAAACATACCTGGATTTGTGTTTTGTTTCATTCACACATGTTTAAGACACCGACCCTGCATATTTAGAATTCTTCTCTTCTCTTCTCTTCTCAGAAAACACCTGTTCCACCTTGTATCATGCGTCATAAGGTAATACAGGAAGTGCTCCACTGTGTTTTTAAACTCCACACACGTCATTTGGATAATTTCAGGCCTGGAAATGCCAATTTGGATGTTCATTTATTCATCAATTTGTATTTTGATGTTTGGAGATGTAGAAAGACTGATAAAGGGTTATTCAAACATGTGAATGAAACAAAACACAACTCCAGTTTTACAACATTATAATATGGTTTAAAGCTCACAAGAGTAACTAGTAAATTTGTGTAATATAGGACCTTTAATATTTAAAGTATTTTCTTGCTTGCAAACCTGCAAGAAAAAGACACAAACATTGCTGGACTGACTGAGCTTTGGCGGTCCACACTGCTTCACTTCAGCATTAAAAAAGCTGCTCTCACGCTGTGGATGCAAACAAAAATCTATGCATGTGAATACTAACAATGTGTGAGTAGATCTTATCTGCTGTTAGATAAGGACAGGAAACAAGAACGTAATAGTATAACAGTACATCAATAACAGGCTAAATGAAATAATAATATAATTCAAGTAAAAAATCTAAAACAAAAAAATAAATAAATACAAAGGAATACAACAAATAAAAAAAAAGGTTGAGTGAGAATTAAAGGTAGGATACCCAACTGTATTCTTGTAAATGTTTAGTCATTTAGTTTGGAATTCTGTGGTTTGAAAATCGTATGATGTAGCTTTAATGTAACCTATACTGCCTACCACTGCTTATATTATGAGCAGGTTGGTAAATTATAGTGCCCACTTTGGTGATGAATAATACAGATGGCATTTTACATGCAACCCTGGATATTAAAAATGGTGAAAAAGATAAATCAACAATAAAATAATGGAAGGAATCTGTGGTCAGAGTGACGAATGTTCACTGGCTAACATGCCTCATCAGGTCAGGAATGCATCCACCTGCTTTGGCTGTTAGTGCTAATAAAGTGTGCTCTGAAGTGGAAGTATCAGATTTTACACCAACGCTCATGTATTCCAGGCATTAAAACCAAATGCCCGGGAGTATCACTCTTTACTGTCTGGAGCAGGGCTAGTGGCACGCACTGCAACAACATTCACTTTAATCGTGGGATATTCTTTTACAGTGTACAATTTGCATATTACCAGGCAATGTGGGGACAGACAGTTTTATTACAGCAGTGGACGATTACCTTTAATGGAGTGCTTTAAGGAAAGATGGAGAAAATGCCAAGCCATAATGTCAAGCAAAAGTGGAAGCAATGTGCCTAAGATCTAAATAAACAAAGTATTTAAAGGTTTAAAAGTATGATGTTTCACTTCTGTGAAATATGATATAAAATAAGTATCACCTGCAAGAAAAATGAAAGGTGCACCAGGTAATTTTTCTGAGGACGGCCCACCACATTAATCTACCTTGAAAGTTCAACAGTATGACATCTCTATGGAGGAAAGCACATTTCAGCACCAGATGTTTACATGTCAAATCTGTGGAGAGGAGACCACTCACAGAATGCAAGATAAAAATGCTTGTAGGTGAATAAATGCAAGATAGATAAGTTTGACACTTTAAGACACTTTGCACTTTAAATGTGAGCTCACTAATGCACTGATATTATTACAATATAAAATTGCATAAGATCAGGACCTTTCCCTTAAACTTTGAAGCATTTAACTTTTTCTAGGTCAATATAAAGACCAGTATGACGGTTTGCACAATTTGTCTGGCATAATTGTATGTGTGTTTTACCGATCAAGAAAATAAACCCAAATAACTCATTCCCACATACCTAAACAAGACTTAATGAATATATATAAAAAAAAAAAAATTAAATACAAGCATAAGCTGAATATAATACTTCTGAACATAACTCTTAATGCATCTACTAAAAATGTGTTTTTATTTAATAGTAAAGCTACCTAAGCTCTCACTAATGTGGTAAATAGAGTTATTTGTGTGTGCGTGCAACAGTGAATCAGCGTATTATGCTCTTGTCTCTCACCTTGTGCTTTGACGTCATCCACAGTGGGACAGGGCGTTTTGATGGTGACCTCGCTCGGACTGGAGCGGCGGCCTGTGGTGTCCACTGCCCACAACCGGAACCTAAACAAACAAGCAAAATCCCATCATTGAAATTTTAAGCCGAGATAGAACATGAAAATTTCCACACAAGTACGGTATATCAGTCCATGGAGATGAATCTACCCTTCATCTGCACCTGTGCTTACTACTTCTTCCAGATGCTCAATATATATATAGTATAAAAATAGAGCTAAAATAAAATGTAACAATATTTAAAGCGCCCATATTATGCTATTTTTGGATCTACATTATAATGTTGTTTCTTCATCCAAAACATATCTGGAGTTTCATTCACACATGCTAATCCCTGCATATTTAGGCTGAGTACTTCTCTCAAACAGAAAACACTCTGTTCCACCTTGTGATGTCATGTGGTAATAACGGGTGTGCTCCATTGTGTTTTTAAACTCCATATAATTTCAGTAGAATCATTTGGATGATCAGTCTTGGAATTGTCTGGAATCTCTACTGAACAAAAGGTAAAAGATCTGTTTACTTGAAAACTACTGCTTCATGACATCCCAAAGTGGAACAGAGCATTTTGAGCTTTGGAGATGTAGACATACAGACTAACAATAAAGCGTTACTCAAACATGTGTAAAAGAAATAAAACACAACTCCAGACATGTTTGAGGAGGCAACATGGCTATAACATGGTTTAAAGGTCACAAGATTCCATTTAGTGTAATATAGGACCTTTAATCTCTGAAAATCTCATGAAACTATTTATTTTCCAACCTTTGCTTTTACTATATGCTTCTTTTACATCAAGTAAGTAAAATGGTGAACTAAGAAATGCCGAATTGAACTATTTATTTATCCATCAAAATATAAATTAATATGAACTTGTCTTCACTTTGTAGTTGGGTCATTCTATTGTCTGTCAATGTCCTCATTTGCCAAGACTAAAATCTAATTTTGTGTAGTCTTGTGGGGTGCCAATGCAAATCATTAACACTGAGATCAACAATATGTGTCCATAATACATGATATCTCCACAGAACAAAGCCCCATTTCTCTGAATGCACATCTCCCCCCAGTGTCTGAATCCACAACTACACCTCTCACAAATGTGACAACATATTATCAGCAGTAGCACATTCACCACGTGCATGAAGACACTGTAAGCAGTATTTACCCATCATGCACTTTGGCCCTCTGCATGCCTGAGTGACAGTACACTAATATAATCAATAACCATAAGGCCCTGTTGAACACTATAGACTGACGTACAAGCACAGTGTGACGTCTGCCTCCTGCATCACACATGTGCTACGGGCTTAAGCACACAATACATTAGTGACCTCTCCGAAGCTTTGGTGCTATAGAAGGTCTTAATGTGTGCAGGCCCAGATGGAGCAGATAAGAGGAGATGAATGAGGTGCCGGGCCATGTGAGGGGAGCTGGAACTCGTCTCATACAAGGACTGAAAGCTTATAGTGCTCAATGTGTTCACATACAAAACAACTGTAGAAATGTTGAACTCAGAACTGAAAAACAACAGGAGATGTAGGCAAAAAGTCAAATAAAAGTCAATATAATTTGTGAGCTCAATAAATACAAGAAAAAATACAGCAAATGTTGGATATGATACTCAATGAAAGTGGTCTGAACACACGCAAGTCTTAACACATTTACCATAAATTAGTTTTAAGATGCCCTAAAGCTACCTAAAACACAAACATGGTAAATAGAGTTTATTTGTGAAGAGTGTAGTAGTGCAGCAGTGATTCATCATAACATGTTCCTGTCTCTCACCTTGTGCTTTGAAAAGTGAAATAAAAGCATATCTAACATCTGTGGTCTGATGCTAAACCACAGGATCCCAAACAGACAGTGGTCAGTCAAGTATGTGAGGCTGTCAGTGAAGACAAATGAACTGACTTCTCCAAAGATAAAGCACATTTAGTGCAGGATCAGGATGAGCACACATGTAACCTTGTGTTTTCTTTCAGAGGAAATCTGTATTGTGTCTTTTTATGAATCATGATGATAGTTATACTGTAGGTGGAAATCAAAAGTCTGCAGATCACGACATATTACTGCAGTACTGTAAAGCCGTGCATATGAAAATGTTGAAAACATTTCCACAGTGCACTTACATGTACGTGGTATCAGGCTCGAGGCAGCGGACAATCAGACTGATGGAGGAGGAGAGCAGGTCAGGGATGTCCCCCAGCATCACACAGGGAGATCTGGCACCAGACAAGATGTCGTCCACAAAGCTCAGCAAGGTTTCTGTAATACAAAACACAACACATTTAAACATGCTCTATCTCCACTATTTTCTCCATTAAAGTTAGTTGGCTCGATATAACAAAGGTACTGTACATTATGTTCCAGGGATCAAGAGCACCTTAAGTATTTATGCTCAAAGGCCTGCTGGATGTCCACCCACATTTTTATTACAATAAAATACCAGAATTTCTCACAGCACCAGAGCACATGTCCTTAACACCTTAAACCAGACTCCTCTCCATGCAAAAATAACACATGGCCCTAAACATGAAGTAGGTGTCAACATTTTAAATAAGCCAATAAAACAGCTGAAACATCCAATCCGCCGTTTAACAGTGATCTGAAGAAAGTCGTACGGAACTTTTACAAAGCTGTTCCCTCACGTGAACTGTATTATGTAGGTGATTCCCAACCGTTTCCCCCATTTGGGTTGCAGAGCACTCTGCCCCCAGACCCTGTATCACAAAATGAAGTAATTGCATTTCATTCCATTCATAAATTAAATCCTATTTTTTTAGGTGTGTATGGAGATTTTCCACAACTAAATTTGCACAGATATTATTTTTAATGACCTCAACCTTAAAACAGAAAGATATCTAAAACCAGAGTATAGTGAGGACCTGCAGTATCTTGAGAAGTACAGTGAAATGTTTACACATATTTCCCAGATCACGTGGGGCACGTGTATATATGGTGTGTACTATTTCTTTCTCTTTAATATTTCCTTTCTAGGTTCTCATCAACCTAAAACCAGGCTCCTGGAACAAGCTGGAGGTGGAGGGGTTCATGATTGCTGCAGTGAAGTATTCAGCACTTTGATTCCAGACTGACAATAAAAACATTTCTTTATGCAATGCAATGTGATTTTCAGCACAAGACAGTAGTATGTTTAAAGGTACACAGTTTAACATTCAGTGGAGAGGTGACTCTGCTCATCATAACAATGCATGCGTATAACCACTCATAATGAAATAGATGCTAGATGGAATTTAAGTTTAATGCCATACTGTGGCACCTTCTAATCCAGCCAAATAAAAAAACATCTCTATGGAGACATGAAGCTAGCAAATCCTCAGAAAAATTTCACAGTGCATCTTTCCTATTATCATATAGTGCAGGGGTCTCCAACCTGTAGCTCGGGAACTACTGGTGGCTCTCCACCCTCTTCCAAGTAGCTCGCCAAGGGATTTCTGAATTAGATGTGTTGTGCTGAATAAGCAAAATTGTATTAATTAAATGCCTATTACCATTATGCATGTATTATTTTGATGCCTAACTTTGTACATGACTATTGATAATGTTTATGTTTTATAGGCATCTAACTGTACCTCATCTAATGCCATGCCTCTTATATTTACTCAATTTCTTGTGACCGTTAAAACTAGCAGCTTTCGTTTAGTAAAGGTAGCTCACTGGAAGAAAAAGGTTGGAGACCCCTGATGTAGTGTAATACTGTTCCGACTTCCGACATAGAGCCACTCTTTCTAAAATGTATGTCACGTAATGTCACGTGTATCTTGACACTTTTAGTATTATAACTGTGTATTGTTATTTTTTTTGACAACCCATTTCCATACACTCAGAATGACCGTGTACCTTGTAAATAACAGTTAACAAGATACCTGCTCTAGCACTACCTTGCTTTATCCACAATTCCCATTTTTCAAACCTTAAACGTTGTCAAATATGAAAATTTGACATATAAAATAGTTGTTTCTGGAGTCTCTACCTGGGCCCCTCCCTGCTCCCACAATCCCCTCTGCTGTGCCATGTTTTCCCAGCTGGAGCCTTGTGCGTCAGGCCAGCGTCTCCGTGTATAAGGGAAAATCCGAGCGGAAAGACCAGGTTGGTGAAGCTGCTCTTAGGTGGTCATCCCCAACCCCGCCCTCCTCCTCACACAAGCAATGACTGTACATGTGTGTATTTATATTAACTGCAAACTGATGGACACCCAGTTTTCCTATCGGCATGTGCCTGAGTGATGGTTGGCCACCTACTGCATGTCTTTCCTGTCAAACTTCAACCCTTGTCACCGGCTGGTAAACAGTAACCAAGCGCACCCGAAAATCAGAGTATTTACCCAGCTCTGGTCGGACACACGCTGAAAGATATAAACACGTGTTAATGAAAAGTGACATTGTGAGGTTTTGCTCCACTTACCATATTAATTGCAAAACCGTTTGGAATATTTGTCTGGGAAGAAGGCATTAAAAAGAAGAGAGTGTTTGAGACGATTCTCGAGCAGGCACGGTGGAAATTTGTGGAATTACATTTTTTTTATTTATCAAAGTCTGTGTGAGTTTAAGGCTAAAAAGGAAACAGCTACATGTATATACAGTATATTTAGGTTTAAAGTGTGTCAATATTATGCAGTTTTTTAAATAATTAAAGGTGTATTATGTAACTTTTCAGGCAGATGGTCCATCTTCTGCTTGTGTGGAAACATGCCAAAAAAAAGGCCCAAAACTGTCAATCTCAACAAACCATTTATCTATACGCACACACAAAAAGTAATATGGATGAACTACCTTGCTCAAAGACACAGCAGCAGAGGTGCAGGGAGCAGAAAATGGAAAACCAACTCAGTGTTTGTTAAGACCTCCTTGCTCATACCTTTTTCATGATAAAAATGTTTGTAATTTGTATGGCTTCAAGTCCATGATCAAATCAGGAAGGGCATCTGAGAGATAATTAAAATTCTGTCAGATGTTGCAATACCAAAAAGACATCACAGCTTCTTGCATTCACACTGACCAGCAAAACATCACATTCTGCACTTTTTGTTTTTGCCAAATAAGTAATTCACTGAGCAGGTTACATAAAAGATAACACTTATTTCTCTTTTACTGGAACCTGCTTTGGAACTACAAATACTTTGATAAAATTATGTTTCAGATGTATCTATTTTTGTGTTCACTGGAAAATTAATCATCACCTCGTCTAAATTGAAAGCCTCCCCAATAACTGAAAAAAACAACAACTGTATTTTATCTATTATATTTTATTTTCAGATCTTGGCCTCTCAGAAGTACGTAGTGAAAAAGGGAAAACAAAAATGTGATAAATTGCTTGCTGAACCATTTTCTGGTCTGGCGTGTCTTTACTCGCTGATGTCAGATGTGTGAGTTTAACCTTTGGCAGTCTCCAATAGTTTGTGTGATTACTAAATTGTTATTTAAGTGCTGCCAAGAGATTTCTTCTCACTTCCTCTAGCACAACAACATGTTAGTAGAAAAGTCAAATTAAACAAGTCTCTACTCCAGCCTTTGCGAAAACATTGAATTGTGAAGTACTTTGGGAGGTCAGGTGCTGGCATTTTGTTGCATTCTGTAAAACTTAAACAAAAAACTCAGTTCAAGTCAAATGGCAAAACATAATTATTTACAAATAGCATAATATGTTTTTGTCTTCTATATAACTGTCATTGTTGGCAGTTTTCAGATTATAGAATGTGATAATGCCAAAATTGGAGGGAAGGGCCAGCTTTCCTTATTGTACTTTGCCATGAAAAATCACCTCAATTAATGACTAAACCTAGAACTCACTGCATTACAATTTCATTTTGCATTTTAACAATTTTAATTTTAGCTGTCCCCCAAATGTATTAATTGATATTGTCCTATAGAATGCTGTGATGTCATCTGATACCCATAAATTTTAAAAATATGAACATTACTAAGGCAGTTTACAGTAATAAATGAAACAAGTCTTCTGAAAAGTCCTGTACTGCATCACTATAAACATCATCACAACAAAGTGCTGTGCTGCTGGACCAGTCCCTCATATGGAAAGCTAAAGTTCACGGTATTAGTGAAAAAGAAAGTATGGTGGGAAAGTATGAGGGGGAGAGAGAGTCTGAAAAAGAGTGAAATGTGAGTGTGTGACACCTTTTATACTATTTGAGTCTCTTGACAAATTCACTATATTTATTGCTTTTTCTACAATGTTTTTTTAAATGAAATCGGAACTGTTAAAAGCCCTCATGGGGACTGGTGGTGAATTAACTGAGGCTATAAACACCGTGATACCTGCATTAAACTTAATTGTTCACTTTCTTTGCTGTATCTGTCCCTAAAATAAACAATAAGTAAATAAAATAAATACTGAGCAGCAGATTTTTGGAGAGAAGTGTCTTGAATGCATGACAATAAAGATGACTCAAATATGCATGAATCACTAAATACAACTTTGACAGGGTAAATGAGAAGGAAAAAAAATGTCTCCTTTCTAAAACAAAGTGCAAAAACTGTTTGTTTTGGTTCACAAAGCATTTTTATTAAGTTTAGTTTGTTTAAATAATGATATGCTAAAATCCTGTTTTATTTTATCTCGCAAGTATACATTTAAAGCAACAGAAATCATTAAATGAGACTAAATAGATGTGTGTGTGTGTGTTGCTTAGTACACCAAAGCATAAATAATTTGTTCACACATCTGGTCACACATCACACATCACCTGCCTCTCTCCATGGAAATATTGCCTGGAATGTTCAGCAAGTATGGCATTACATTTATTTATCTCTACGGAGACAGCAGGTGACACCACAGGGCCAAGTTAAATCAGATCACATCTGTGGAGAGGGGAGCCCACTCATAGTAAGAATGCAAGTTTTTAGGTCAATAAAAGCCTCTGTTGTTGAGTAAATGCAAGATTAATATGTTTAATGCCAAGCAAAAATGTGACAGACCCTCCAGCAGAAAAGTTACACAGTGGACCTTTAAATAATTTGGTCACTGAATGGCTTGCTCATATCAGTGTGTGTGTAAAGCACCTGAACCAGATCGCACTTCAGAGCTCCATTAAAACAGCCCAAACCAGCACTGAGCTCTGTCGTGAAAACAGGAATGCTGCAGGTGGGTGGCCAAGCTGTCCGAAGAAGAGAACTCAATCATAACAAAATATACCAGTCCCAAATAACTCTGACTAACTTGGAATTTACTTACGCTGCTTGAAAAGAGACTGATCAAAACTACATGTGTGTCCACTGCAGATAGACAGA